TGATTGGTCTTCATGACACTGGCTTCTATTGTTTCAATGTCCATTGGCCTGATGGTTCGCAAATTTATCACCTAGACAGACAATACAGTAAATAGCTTTCCAGAGCCACTGCCTCGCAAACAGTTTTATCCCCATAACGCCACTTCCCTTCTTGTGTGTGTGTGTTCTAAGTCACTCAGTCATGTCTGAGTCTTGACAACCACATGGACTGTAGCCCGGTAGGCTCCTCTGTCCATGGGATTTCCCAGGCAAGAATACGGGAGTGGGTTGCATTTCCTACTCCAGGGGATCTTCCTGACCCAGGGATGAAACCTGCATTTCCAGGCAATCTTCGAGTCTGGGGAAATCTGCCTGTGTCAAAGGGGAAACTAATGAAAAGCTACAAGCAGCTTTGTTCGCTTGCAGAACCCACCTGTCCTCCCTTGGCTCTAACTTCCTCATCAGAACAGAGACTAACACGTGAGTGCTTACCAAGCACCAGCGCTACAATAAGTACAAGTCCACAGCCACCCTGGCGGGACAGTAAATGTATTATCCTCACTTTACTGCTGATGACGCTGAGATTCATTAGAGTACACATATAACTTGCTCAGGCATAACTAGCAAGTGGTATCTCCTGGGTATCAAAGGGTTAGACTCAATGACTTCTAAGTTTTCCATTCTCCCCACTTCCAGCTCTAAGGTTGGATCTTTTTTTTTTTTTAATCTAACTTGCTTTCACTTTATTTTCCAAAGATATTTCAATATTAATACAAAGAAACTTCTTTTTTTTCTTTTATAACATTTTATTTATTTTATTTTATTTTTTTTGAGCTTGTGATACAGTTTTTTTTTTTTTCCATTTATTTTTATTAGTTGGAGGCTAATTACTTTACATCATTACAGTAGTTTTTGTCATACATTGAAATGAATTAGCCATGGATTTACATGTATTCCCCATCCCGGTCCCCCCTCCCACCTCCCTCTCCACCCGATCCCTCTGGGTCTTCCCAGTGCACCAGGCCCGAGCACTTGTCTCATGCACCCAAGGTTGGATCTTAACTTGATAAAACAGATACCAAAAAGATCCAGACACTAGCTGGTAAAAAGCTAGGTATTTGAAAACCAAGTAGGTTCCCACCATTAAGCTGAGACAGAACTAAGTGACAAAGCAAGATTTTATATCTAATTAACCTGTTACAGAACTCAAACTCCTCTTTCTGGGTCTTAAATTTAAAGGTATCTTTCTGATTCTCTAAGAACACGTGAATGTCCACTTACCTCACATTCAATTCCCTCTTTAGACAGCACTGTTGCAGCTTCTAAGCAGTGGCCCACAGGTCTTGAATGAGCAACTATAGTTACGTGTGTTCCTGAAACAAAGTTGTCACAGATCAGAGGTCAGGCTGAAACCAAACACACTGTCCTTCTCTGTAGCCAGCTGTGGTTCTTGTTCATTTGTAAAATCTTAACTTCATTCCAGTGAGATGCGGAATGTGACAGCCTTTCTGAAAATGAAGTACACATCTACTAGGCTCAGATTTAGAAAAGCACAAATACATGGTGCAGTCAAGGCATAACACATTTTAAGCTTGAACTCATCCTATAATTTCCTAGTCAAAGTAAAGGCCAGTGACTTCTAGATCGACATAAACAGAAGGAACAGAGTACTAATAATGTTGAAGTGCATACTAATTTCTCTTACCTTGCCTTTCTATTTTGGCTTTTCCAATAGGGATCAGAAAATCTTTTGACTGAGCTTCTGAAGGAAGTTCAAAAGGTACTCCATACATCAATTCATTCTCCAGCACCACCACTGCAATATATAAATATTTAAACCAAAGTAACCACATGACTAAAAAGATCTACACAACACTATCATTCATTCTGTGAGATGTTTCACCATGCTGATTAGGAAGCATCAGTGTCCAGTACCCTTATGGATGGTTTAGATACAGACATCTATAGTCTGGTTAATTCTGATTTTACCTCTGGGGTTAAACAAGTGTTACAGGTATGCAGTAAATTTCTCTTGTACCTAACTGGCCCCCATATAGTAACAGATAAGAAAAACACTATTTTGTTTTTATGTTTACTACATCTGTAAATCTCTAACATATATCTACGTCTAACTTTAATGATCTTTAATGGTTCCTTCCATGCATATATTTCATTTTAGCACTTCAATGTTCAAAAGAGATGCACGACACACCCCTCTACTGACCTGGGTTGTTATCCCGAATGGCTGATTTAATAAGCCCTTTTGCATCCTCTGAACTCCAGGGGCTGACCACCTTTAAGCCTGGGCAATGCCCATACCAGGCAGCAAAACACTGTGAGTGCTGGGCAGCTACACCTGCTGAGGCGCCATTGGGCCCCCTGAAGACTATGGGCACAGACTGAAGGCCCCCTGACATGTAGTACGTCTTGGCAGCTGAGTTTATAACCTGGTCGATGGCTTGCATAGAGAAATTGAAGGTCATGAATTCACAAATGGGCCGTAACCCAGCCTGTCAAATAAAAAATGTTGAAAAGATGTTGAAAAGACTGGAAAACATCAGTTTAGAGTGGCAAATAACTACTTTGCCCCCCCAACACTCAAGCAATGATTTTAAAAAGGTCTTGTTAAAAGAAATCTCTGGGTGACATTCACAAAGAAGACTACATACCATAGCTGCACCTACAGCAATTCCAGCAAAACCCATCTAGAAAATAAAATGCAGATGTAAGTAAAAATCCACAAAAATTAGAGTAGTTCCCTTTAACAAACATGCCCCTCCAAGGTCTGCTTCCTGATGGAAGGCTTACCTCAGATATGGGAGTATCTATGATCCTCTTATCTCCATATTTCTTCCACAGGCCTCGACTAACCTATAATTAAGGAATGACCCCATTACTTCTAATTGTACTGGGGGAAAATGGCCACCTCAATTCTGTACAGTGTTTTTTTTTTTCCTCTTAGTTACCTTATATGCCCCATCGTACTGGGCAACTTCTTCCCCAAGGAGAAATACCTTCTCATCTCTTTCCAGCTCCTCATCCATGCCTTGATTTATAGCCTCACGAACTGTTACCTGTCACAGGTATGGGAAAGCAGTCAATAAACTACAGGATTACTTAGGATACTACTGAGATTCTCTCTTGACCTAGGCTGCCCATAGCACATGATACAAAAACCCTCAACAGAACAGGCTTCTCTTTAAAAGTTCAAAGAATTTAAAAAGTAACATTTCTATTGCTCATTGCCAGTCTATGATTAGATGTATAAATAAGAAGTATACTAAACACTTCCCTTTTTAATATTCATTGGCTGCACTGGGTTTTAGTTGCACATACGGGATCTTCGCGTTGTGTCACGCGGGATCTTTCATTGTGGCTCACCGACGCAGCAGTTGCCATACAAGAGCTCAGTAGTAGTGGCGCACATGCTCAGTTTCCCGTGTGGGATCTTAGTTCCCCGAACAGGGATAGAACCCACGTCCCCTGCATTGCAGGGTGGATTCTTAACCACTGGACCAGCAGGTAAGTCCCCTTTTTCTTAATGACTACCTAATCTTGAGAAATCTGCGTGCTCGCCAGACCAGTTCACAGGTGCTTTCCTAAGTAGACAGTACACTGGATAATTTTATTTCCACATTTGGTATACTGTGGGGCAGAGAACAGTTAAGGAAGCCTAAGTAACACTACATATTGAGCACTAACTAAGAGCCAGACACTGCCAAACACTTTGCCTTCAGGATCTAGGAATTACTCAACTATAAAGGTTGGCAGAATCCTCCAGTAACAAAAATGAGAAAAGAGAGAAATTCGTCAAAAACTTGAACACAGAATTGCCATATAATCCAATAATTCCAACTTCTAGATTTATACCCCAAAGAACTGAAAGCAGGGACTCAGATAACTGCACATCAATGTTCACAGCACCATTATCCAAAACCCAACAGGTGGAAACAACTCAGGTGTCCATCAGTGGTGAGTGGGTAAGAAAAAGTGGTATATGCCTACAACGGAATACTATTCAGCCTTAAAAACGAAAGGAATTCTGACACATGCTACAACATGGATGAACCTTGAAAACTGGGTAAGTGAAAGAAGTCAGACCTATAAAGAAAAATATTAAATTCCATTTATAGGCCATCCCTGCTGCTACTGCTGCTGTTAAGTCGCTTCAGTCGTGTCCGACCCTGTGCGACCCCATAGACAGCAGCCCATCAGGCTCCTCTGTCCCTGGGATTCTCCATGCAAGAATACTGGAATGGGTTACCACTTCCTTCTCCAATAGGCCATCCCTAGAATACATGAATTCATCACCACAGAAAGTACCGAGGCGTTAGAGGTTACCAGGGGCTCAGGGAGCGTTACTGTTCAATAAGTAAGTTTCTGCTTGGGACGATGATAAAGTTCTGCTGGTGAATGGACGACATGCTAAATGTACTTACTGCCACTGAATACACAGTTTAAAACAGTGAATTTTGTTATGTGTATTTTACCACAATAAAAAATTTTAAGGGGAGGTGAGGGAAGAAGTGTTAAGTCTAGTTCCCTCAGATCGGCCATTTGACTCCACTAATCCTCGCATGGGTGACGTGCGACCCCAGCCTCTGCCCTGGGACCAGGGGCCCTTCCCGGCCCGACTAGCGTCCGGGCTGGTTACCTGCAGTGCAGCCGGCGCGGTCCGGTGGAACCGCCTCCTCAGCAGCCCGGAGACCTGGCAGGGAGACAGACAGGACGCTCAGAGGGGGACTGAGTGGGCAGGGGTCGCGCAGGGTCATAAGCGAGGGAGCCACTGCCTACCTGCTCAAGGGGTCTCCGCACCAACACAGCAACCACCGCCATCTTGACCGTGTCCTCTAGCCGCTGCCGAATGACAGCACAGCAGGGCCGCGAATGAGTCGGACCCCGCTACCCGCCGGCGCGGGCCAATGGCAGGGCACGACGCCTGCGTGCCCCGCCTCCCGCAGTGCGTCATGGGCCGAGGGGGCGGGACCACGGGACGTGTGGGTAGTCCCAGCCTGCGGCGGCCGGGAAACAAGTAGAAAGAGCAGGCGGCTGCTGGCGCTCTGGGTGCACGCCTGGGGCGCGTCCCTCCCTGTTGGTATTTTGAACGCGGGGCCCGAAAGTCAGGCGCTGAGGGGCGTAACTCGAGGCCGTGAAAACTGCAGGCACAGAAACGCTTTGGTACGAAGTAGCACTTTATACATAATCTGGTGACTGGGTGTTTACAGTCTGACAAGTTGCTCTGGAAACACTCTTTTGGTTCCTTAGAATGTGAACTGGAGCTAGCTTTCACGTGTGCCAGGCATTATGTTAAGTGCTTTATGGCTCACTTAATTCTCATAGGAACTCTCTCAGGTAATTAGTGTTAATGTTATTAGCTCTATTTCTCAGATGGGTAGACTGAAGTAGGGAGGCAGAATTTGACTTTAGGACTCCTTACTGTAAAAGGTAGTCTTTCCCCACTGCTTGGTAAAGCGGAAGTTGGGGTCCCAACCTGGGAGGGAGTTACAACAACCTGCATTTAGAGACGGCCTATCACCTGAGAAGAGGGCGTCAGAGAATGAGATGGCTGGATGGCTTCACCCATACAATGGACATGAACTTGGGCAAAGTTTTGGGAGATGGTAAGGGACAGGGAGGCTTGACGTGCTGCGGTCCATGGGGTCACAAAGAGTCGGACACGCGTAGTGACTGCACAACAGCAACATAACCTGACTAGGAAAGCCTCTGGAAGCTTTATCTCATTGGTCTCATTTCGACTTGGGGGCGAGGGGAATGGGTCAGGTAGGACCTCTGGGGACTCCCCCAGTCCTCAGTCTTATCCAGAACATGTCAGAAATTTCTATGAGGGCTGCGAGCTGCTGGTCTGCAACCTGAGAATCTGGGTTTACTCTAAGGGCCCGGAGAAGCCAGTGCAGCAGGGGAGAGACTAGGTCACAGGAATCTGGTTGCTGAATGGGAATGAGAGGAGAGGGGTGAGGGCAGAAGCAGGGAGACCCCAGGGAGTCTTGGTAGAGAGAACTGAAATAGAGGACAGCTTCAACATGAAGAGGAGGTGACAGGTTTAAGATCTGTTTGGGACTGGAATCAATAGGGTTGCCATGAGGGAAGGGGAAGAGTTGAGGAAGATTTAGGTTTTCTTTGTTTTTGTTGTTGTTGGATGGGTAGGGGAAGGGAGGAGACTAAGTGTAGGTGGGAGGTAAGACTCTATTCTGAATAAGCTGTATTTAGACAACTGGATCATACTCAGGTTGAATGTTTGGAGCCTGGAGCTAGAGGCTAGTTAGTGCTAGAGAAATAAATTTGGACACAGCTGCTTGGGCGTGGCTTTTAGTCTCTGGACTTTTGCTTCATCATCTTTAAAATGGAGAGTTTGTCTCTAAGATGTGAAGTCAAGATGTTCTGTCTTCCTCACCTGACATCATTGCCTAGTCCCTTCAGTCTGTGGACTGAAATAAAAACACACAACGTGAGAGCTGTGAGGTTCGTTTTATTTGGGGGCTTAATGAAGACTACACCCCAGGAGACTGCTCTCAGTACATTGTGATTTGGAGAAGGGTATGCAGTCTGGCACACATCGGGGTAGAAGATTACTGCTAGTCATGAGTAGATATTTTAGTTAATGATTTTTAGTGCTTTTCCAAGTATGGTGAGATGCAGGAAATTGGGTTCATAAGCTTTTTTCCTGAAATTATCTGAAGGCCTGTTTTACCAGGTGTTCTCAGAGCTCGGAGTGCCTCATTTTTCAGTCTTTGTCCTGAATTCCTTTCAGGGTATGCTGATGGTCAGCAGTGGCAGTGGCTAATAACTCAACTCTTGTAGAGCACAATGGCAAGCAACAGTTTTTACTTGTCAGGTCCTTGACAGGAAACCAGTACTTCTCCGGCAGCCACACAGCATCCTCGGGAATATCCTCAAATTTGAAATATCACCCCTCACTGGTTCCTGGGTTCTGCTTAGAACAAAAATGTAAGTCAGTTCTCTTGCCTCTCTCACCTCTCCCACCATCCAGCACTAAAAGATTTCAGAATTACAAAGCAAAAGGAGATACCAAGGTAAGGGAAGAAAGGCCTAAAGAGAAGCCAAAAATATGGACTATGATGTAGACAAAGGACAGTATTCTTGGCCTTTATTTACACAGAGACCCTAAAAAGCCAGTAATCCTGAGACTGTGTAGCCAGCTTGACCACTTCAGTCAGAATGGCAGTAGCAACTCCAGAGGACTCAGCTGGTCTCAGGTGAGAATTTCCTTTAAAATACTGACTGCAAACATTTCAGACACATTGAATATCTTCATCTGTATATATGCATTCCTTTCAAACACTGTAAATGGCCAATTGGGAAAGCCAGGTATAATTTTATGTTTCGGAGTAAAAAGCACAAAAGTTGGAAGTGCTAAAGTATAAATCCATAATCTTTTTAAAGCCCATCTACATTCATAGGCTCACTAAATTTTACAGAAGAGGTTTGGAAAGTGTAAGTTGACTAACTAGGCCACTTCAGTCTTGCAATTACATCTTTCCAGAGTTTCAGGAATATTTGTCCTCCAGTATCTTTGGGTCGTCACTCATCAGACAGTCCTTCATCCAAAGTTTCAATCCCCACAGGGTTCCACAATTATTATTACTATTTTGGTCATTGCAAGCAGGGTTTATTAAAGAGGATTTTTCACTCTGTCTTTTTAGCTATAACTTAAACACATTAAAATGCACATTTCTACCACCTCAGAAAGTTCTCTCATGTTTCCTTCTAAGTAATTCTCCACTCGGTTCAATAGGCAACCACTGATCTGATTTCCATCCTCATATTTCCATTGGCCTGTTTTAGAACTTGAAACAAATGGAGTTATATTTGTCTATATTTATATATATAATTATATTTGTTATATACCTTGTGCTCTTGTGTTTGGCTTCTTTAGCTCAGCAAATGTTACTGAAATTGATTCATCCATGTTAAATCTTAATACTTTACTCCTCTTTTTATTCTCATAACTTTTTCTTTTGGGAGATCTTAA